ACAAAAGTTGTCACTGGCAGCCACACAACGACCGCATACCCCATGCTTTACTTCCATTTCCGCTCAAGCGCGCGCTCATCCGCGTCAACTCCGCTTCATTAAATCATTTGAATCTCGCGCCTTTTATCCGTTGGCAACTAACTTATTAAGCGCGTGACACGACGGGTACCGGCTCCCATAAAAAAAAAAAACACCGTTTTGAAAAAGGAACGATCATTAACGTGACGTGATTTTACCGCGAAATATGACCAATTGAGTTTGTTGTTAGCGTTTCGTTGTTTTCCCGCTTTGGCGATCAGTCAAATGACTTTCGAGTCAGTTTGTCTTATTTAATAGTAGCTCGTTTAGGAACAATTATTTGCCCGCTTAGTTTAAATCTTTATAACAAAAAAGTACAACCACTGCAAGCCAGTACGATAAATACATTAATAATATTAAGCTTTTATAAAACAACTTTCAATAATAAAATATGAAACTGCAGCGTAGTCAAAACAAAAATGTTACATTCCTCGGTTGTACCCCTTCCGTAACAACACATATAATAGAATTTTATACCTAAAAAGGTCTCTTTTAACATTACCATCAAATAAGAACATTTAAAAAAATTATGGTACAGCCATTTTATAGACACAAATTTATAGTACATAGACAAGGCTACAATCGAGGTGTACTTATGAACCTAAAGAAATCTTTAAGCAGTATTTCAGTCTTTTAAGCTATTTGTTATAAAACTAGAGATTAAAAAGTTACTTCATACGTTTTCGCTAATTAAAACGCATTTTAACGGTGGTAGAGCCACGCAGCAGCCTCGGCTGTTGCACGAATGGGCAGGCTCGTCCGGGTAAGCATCACGACTTCACAGAAGACCGGCGTAAAGTTGAAGTATAATATTTTCGCGTTTCGTCTGGTGAGTGAGGTAGCCGGAGCCCAATTTTCAAAAGGTTGTCAACGCATCTCCAAATCCTCGGGTGTAGTAGATGTCCATGGGCGGTGGTATTCACTTAACATCAGGTGAACCACCGGCTCGCTTGGCAACTTTTAAGATTAAAAAAAAGTATTTATAAGTTAAGACAAAAATAGTTCTTCAGTGATTCTGATTTAAGAAGAGGTTCTTGTGCACCATCAACGCAATGATTTAGATTATCAAGAAGTAAAAAAAAATTGAAGAGTACTTAGTACGAGCTTTAAAAACTCTAATCTCCACGGGAGCGAGGTATTCATAAAACATTAAGTCATAGTTAACCGTACACAGCCGAACAAACCAGGGTCCTTACAAAGTAATATTCTCGACAGTAAAGCGCGCAGCACTCAATTCCAGATGTAAAATGATCGGTCGTAAAATTTTTTTTTTACATCTCCAAGTGACGTTTACAATCGAACCTAATTGGAGCGGGGATCGACGTCAACGGTTTTATCGCCATCGCCGTCTGTTTCGAATTAAAACACCACTAGCTTCGCGGCAACGGGAGATATTTTTTAGGCGTATGATTTATGCGGGCATCAATCTCGGCTCAACAATGTTTGTTCGGTGAGTGGTACTAAGTAACGCGCGTCGTGAAAATGCTACATGGTTAATGTTATCCGTCACGCTCAGAGCTATTTCTGTGTTTATTTTTGTATGGGAGGACCACGCAGCGGATTCTGCTGCACGAATGGGCAGCTTCGTCCGATGCCCACAGAAGACCGCTGAGAACTGCAAGTATAATTCTGGTACATTATGTATTAATGTTGGTAACGCATGGATCTTCACAGGTATTGTAGATGTTCATGGGTGATCATTTACTATCAGGCTAACCGCTAGCTTGTTTGCCACCAACTGACACGTCAGTATTTTTTATATTCTGAAGGATTAACTACTGGTACATGAGCAAATGCCGATAATAAACTTTGGTGGACATGTTCCATTGATTGCCTGAGGGCCTATCCTATGTAAAAGGTATTAGGGCGTATCCCGCTTCGAAGCCCCATTGCAGATTGACGGGCTGCATGTCTCCGCTAAATATTTAAAGCGCTTTATTAAAGTAACAGCCAATACATGTCCCACTGCTGGGCAAAGGCCTCCTCTATACAGAGGGTATCAAGGCATAGTCCACCACGTGGCCCCACTGCGGATTGGCGGACTTCACATATTTTCGAAATATATTTTTTTTGTTATTATTTCGAAAATATGCAGGTTTCCTCACGATGTTTTCCTTCACCGCGGAGCACGTGATAAGTCAGCACTTAAAGTGAAAAACTTCAGCGGTGCCGGCACCGGGGATCGAACTCAGGTTGCTCGAGTATATTGAATTAAAGGCGAGCGCCCGGACACTGAGCTATCACGGCTCAAAATATTTAAAGCGCTTTATTATTACGATTTAAATCTTTGGTATCCGCCATATTTTTTAAGTTTCTCACACATTTTCCGCATTTTTTTTACTTCACGGACCTTGTAGTGGCAAACAGGAACATAAAATTTGAACCAATTACTGATTTGGTATTACCTTCCTCGGCAATTGATCAGTGATCAGGGATTAATATTAGAAGAACCTATTTGATAATTATCAAGGGCCTAAACACCAGGGTTGGTCAGCAATGTTACGTAAATTATTTTAAAGTAAAATTATACAACTCTAGTCCTAGCTAGATTGTAGTCGTTTCTTAGTTGAAGGTGCAATGTATTTAGATTAGAATTATGTTTTAGAGGGTTCTTAAGCACAGCATTATCCTATTGCTTTCACCTGCTCGGAGATACCTGAGATGCATAGTACTGCACAAAGTAATCAGGGGCCAAGTTATATTTCAAGTTAACGCGCCACCGGCAATAACGGCCAGCGGTCGGTGTGAAGTCGCCTTTATGAAGATATTCCGCTGCAGTTTTCTCTATTTAATTAAAACTCGAGATTCATTGGGGGCACCTTAATTTTCCGGCGCCATCTTCGCTCGCAGATGACGTCCGCGCCGCCCGCTTCTCGGGACAAATGTTGCGTCATACAATACGGAAGCTATTTCATTTAACGGCGCTTCGTAATTAATTTCTAGAAGTAAGAGAGTAAGACGTGTGATACTATTATAATTGGTCCAATTTTAAAGTGGTTTGTAATACTTGATCCAATTTTGATACAATTTTTAAGTGATTTGTGATACTACAAAATTAATCCCTGTTAAAAAAAAGAAACATTGTTTGCTGCGACATATGTGCATAATGCTTAAAACGTTTAAGATAACTTAGCTTAGTTTAATCTAGTAAAGAAAAGATTTACACCAATAAACACAATATTACATTCGATATTACGAAAGAATATGCTCATAGCGTAAGTGGCAACAGCAGAAAAATTATGATGATAGATTTAAAACGGTGATAATCATTATGAATAATAAAAGAATAAACGTCTTACATTCTCTTTTTAGTTTTTTAAATTCCATACTTTTCGAATATTTCGGAACTTGCAACAAATTTCTTATTTATAGTTTCCGCATATAATTCTAAATTAAGTGAAATGTGCTCTGATTTAGAATGATGCGTGTCTTTCTATTTAAAATTAAGTAAAAATTTATTGAAACGTCATAAGTTAAGATATAACAGACCCGAATAAATACATTTGAAAAAAAAAAATGTTGTAACGAGTTGAGTACGTTATCGCAAATAAAGTTATTCTCCTTCAATGCACCGACATCTATTTCGTAGTTTTTCAAATTTACGCATGCTTCGGCTAAGTTCGTCGGGATTCGTTGTCGGGTCGAAAGCGCCATCGTAGTATAGTGACCGCCTTGCCATATTACTTTTGTCCACGCTGTATGTAGTATAAACAGTCGCTAAAATCAAACTGTTAATGTAAAACGTCATTAAAGTTGTGAAATAAGAGTCTTCGTGTCTGCCTTTAACCACCTTCTATGCTAAGAACCATTACAATGTGCTTTTTCGTCATACATAAATCCTATCCTCAAAGCCTAAATTATATAAAGGATAATGAATCGATCTAAAAATGGTAAGGTAATATAATTAAAATCTCACTAAATGTTATTTAAACCGGTATCTAAAGCACAAAAGTAAATGTACGGAATCATGAAATATTTCCATAATATTTGTTTGAATTTTTTTAATTACCTAAATAGTACGCCTAAGGCTGTAGGAGAAGCCTTAGGATAGCGTGAAACGTATACCCTGTTAACTATGGCTACCCCTTTATGACATTTGCATGATTATAGCCACTCAGAAAAATACAGTGTATTTTTTAAATATCGTTAACTTTTATCATCATTCAATTAATGGTTTTACTTATGTAACCCTGTTGGATCGTTAAACGGGCCGAAATTTTAAAACTCGAAACTTATTTATGGCCCCAGCAGCGGCGTTAGTAACGTCTCCGATGTATTGGCAGCTATAAGTTAATAAAATATGTGTTACTCTTTTGCTTTTTCGAGTTTATCGTACGTTTTGGCATAGCGAAAAATTACTTATTACGTTAATAATATTTTAGCTCTCGAATTTAGTACTAGCAACTTGTAGCGGCTATGCAAGGGTAATACCTAATTTTTTATGGTTCCGTACCTAAAGGATAAAACGGAATCCTACTACTAAGACTCCGCTTCTGTCTGTCTTTCCGTCTGTCACCAGGCTGTTTCATGGACCGTGATAGTTAGACAGTTGAAGTTTTCACTGATGATGTATTTCTGTTGCCGCTATAACAATAAATAATTTATTTATTTATTAAGGTACACCAACAGCATAACATATAGGTAGTTACATTTATATATACATATATTTTTTAGTTACAGATCTTGTTTCTATATTTACGCCAATTATAGGTATACACAACATTTACGATCTAAATACTTAATAGTAAAACAAAAATAAAATTTAACATAAGAATTAATAATAAAACGAGAAAAAATAAAATAATACTAAATACAGAAAAAAATAAATTTATTGGGGCTCCTATACAACAGATATGATTTTTGCCATTTTATAGAAAGCGGTACGGAACCCCCGTGCGCGAGTCCAACTTGCGCTTGTTTCAGCCCAGTCGTATCGAAATTGTCACGGAGAAGGCCAAGTTGTCGTTGGCAATATCATCATGGCTTCGCGTGACTGAAAAACAATTCAGCCCGTACAAAAACTTACGGTTGGGGCAACGAGCCACCTAACTCTACATTTTACATTGCGAGCCATAAAAACATAAAGAGAACGCCACCGCCTGCCTCTGTTTGCTTTCGTGAATGTTTTCATTGCAATATCGGCGAAGAATGGATGTTGAAGTTTCCGGTTTATTTTATTGTGGCCCGTGTTTATATGAGCTATGTTGGGAGCAAATGTTCGTTCGGTTTTTACGTGTGTTTGAGACTGTTATTGCTTTAGCTACGTTTTGTTCTTGCGCTTTAATAGTCTTTATTTTATCATAATAATACTTTCCATGTTGTATTGACCATCTGTATATTTTAGTTGATGATAAAATCGACATTCAGACCATCTTGTTCGTGGAAGTACCAGGGCCTCATAGAAAACCAGCGATAAATAAGATGCATTAATCCTTTTTCCATGGATGGCGGTCTCATTTACTATTAGGTGAATCTCGTACTCTGTTAATATCTCTTTGGAATAAAAATACACTACTACGGCAACCTTAATATAGAAGCCACTGAAAAACAGAAGCCATCTTTCTTTCGCACAAAGGGCATACACACAAACAGCCCACACATTACGGCAACATTTTAATTTAAACGCAAACGGGAACGTGAGATCGGCGTTTAGTAAATTATCGCGATATTTGGAGCGTGAATTTCGTTAGCAAATAAAAAAACATTGAACCCAAACCGGCTGGAGTCGTGAATATTTCCATGCAACGGCGTTGCAAAAACGCAAACGACGGACGAAAGTATACAAACGCAGCAAATAAAGAAATCGGTCTATTTCTGTACATCTAATGTAACTGGAACCGAAACAGAACAGGAGAATGCTTTTATACAATTTCGCTCGCAACGGGAATCGCAAAAATAACCGAGCTCTCGCCGTCCGAATTGTCCTCTAAAGTCCTGTAACTAAATACTTTTGCACGAATCCATACATGCTCCACAAGTTTTAGGATAATAACAAGAGGTCTGAAATGTTTTACACCGAAACGTCTTTATTTCGGAGGGATATTTGATACTGGATTCAGATCATCTATTCTATTAAAGCCTGAGAATCCTCAAATAGTTTGAGAAAGAACAGAGTGAAAGTGAAGAGTTATCTGTGCCATTGGTATATTGAATTTCCTAAAAGAGCTTTCGAAGATGTATTATTCACGGCGAAATGAAGAAATATATCATCACGCAGAAGATCAAAGTGAGTACTACAATAAGCTTACTTGTTCAAAATTATAAATAGGTCAGCTTATAAATAATAAAGAATAAATTACGCGCGTTCTCAATTTCAATTCTTAGCAGAGGCAATACTTATTTATAGCATTTTTTTTTAATTATATTAATTTTCCATGGTGTAATTCTCTGCATTTAAAATGAAATTTACGTCTGAGTCAAAATAAACCGTTTAGTTCAGTTGTTTTGTCCATGTTTCTACAATCATTAATTACAAATCCTTACTATATGTAATAGCGAGTATGTTATCTAATAAGACAAAGGAACCAAGTACGCCACAGAGCCATTTACAGAAATTGACCATATCACCATATTTTAACCACACACCGCTTAAAATATGGCGAATTAATCAATTTCTTCCAATGTAAAACGAACTGGCCTAATATACACTAAAGCACTACGCGAAAATCATACTATCGAAAGGTTTGAAAGCTACTGAAAAAAACATAAACTGTTAACACGCTTAACGTTTACGCTTGTTAAAGCTGTTAACACGTTACAAAATACTCGAATGCCAATGCGGGGGCAGGGGGCGTGGCGGTGCGAATACCTTGGAGTTACAACGCGACAAATGAACTTGGCCGTCCGTTTGATTGATTTATAGGGCATTCGAGGACGCGCTGACGGGCGAGCATGCGAGGCTATTTAATTTGCAGATCGCTTACGTTTGGGCACCGTTTCACTCTGGTCGCTTTTTTAATTATTTCAACGCGTTAACACGTCGCTGGGTTGAATGGAACACGCGGCATGTCCTTCCCAAACTCTGCACAGTTAAACATAGGTAGATTTTTAATCGAGAATGCATGGTGGCCATTAAAGTAAAATACACAGTGTGTACCGAAATAGTGAAATTAAAAAGTTTACTCTCATGAAATAAGAAGTGTCCAATGCGACGAAGGCATTATGCACATATTTAATGTTTACTTTTTGTATCTTATTTTTTCAACTGTTACGCCGTACGGGCTTTATTTAATTTTCGTTGTCAATTGAGTTTCGTTATTAATTTTATTAATGTGCAATATAGTGGATCATAGAAATCATATAAACTAAATTGTATTTACATTCCAAAAGTCAATCGTTAACAATTATCGGGAGTAATAATCAATTGTTTTCTAATCAAAAATTAAAAAGTTGATAAAATGAGCCTTCATCGTACGAGTGAGGTAAGTATGGCCGTTAATACCTGTAAGTGATAAATGAAATAATTCATTTGTTGTCATCTATTATTAAAAAACTTTGCCACTCAACTCGGACACATCTATAACTACTATAAAACGGACAGAAATAATTTCGCTAGCGACGATAATGTAACGACGTAACATTTTGCGTTAACACCGCGTGCCGGTGCCCGAAATGCCTCTGCAGTTGCCTTATAGGCTTAATAACAATAAATGTAACAAGGATGGAATAGATGTTATCCGTTATTGTTATTCGTTATCGCACCCTATAGCAGCGTTATTCATAACGACCTGCCCATTGCAGAGTTCATTCAAAATATTCGAGAAAGTGCCAACGACTAACGACCATGATGAGATAAATCGTTTAAAAGCAAATTGGAAAACACTAACCTCTCTTAATTAATATATAATATAGTTAGTTAGTTGCTAACGATATAAATATAGTTAGTTCCAAGGTTAGGCAAGCATACAGGTGGTTCATCGGATTTTAAATGATTACCGCCGTCCATGGACGTCTGTTACACCTATGGGGCTGTAGATGCGTTGGCAACCTAAAGTGGAAGAAAATGGGCACCAGTTGCCTCACTCATCTTATGAAACGCAAAAGTGAGATATTTCAACTTCACGTCGACCTTTTGTGACGTCGTAGTACTTCTCCAAAAAGTCTGTCCATTCATGCAACAGCCGAAGCTGCTATGTCCCCACCACAGATATAATATTTCTCTGAGTAAAAAAATGTTATCGGAACTAATAAATTACAAAAGATAGATAGCAAGCTTATCATCGTGTATCGGAGCAAAACACAAATAAATTTGTTGAGAAACAAAATAAGAAGTTTAGAATAATAGAGTAATAGAATATAAATGAAAGAAACTTTATGCTCCGCACGTACTGACTACGTTTAGACCTGAAACAACTTTTTTATGAGGCACACAAAATTTTTATTTCGTGTGTGGATCGAACCTACATAATAGCATCGTCTTCGCGATAAAAATGTAAACGTTTTACATCTACATTATTTCCATCAGTGGTACATTAGTCAAGTAGTTATTTGGTAAGAAATAAAAAACCGTGTATGGGAGACCCGCGTCAAGCATTCCAATTCCTTACGCCTTTGCCTCAACTTCTGTCAGTCAGGCAGTCTACAAACATTATATTTTATATTTGCATAATTTTCAAGGAACCAACTAACCAATAATCGTTGAACCTAAGACAAACGCTTATTTAATGGATGTAAACGTGTTTGCAACATGCAATACAAATTTATTGCATGTACGTAAAAACAAAAAAATCATTTAGATAACACAGAAGGTATTACTACTGCATTGTGTGCATACGAAGGAGGAAATAATATTGGAATTTCTCAATAAAACACCATACAACTCCACGAGCACATTAACAAACGAAAAATGAGACCTACCAGGTAAATATTTCCAGCTGTTTCGTATCCAATAAAAATCGAGCGCTATCCGAAATAGGAAAAGATACGCTACCGGGAAAACGGCAACGCTGCATATTGTCTGCGGGTAAACAGACCGTATTAAAAAAACACGAGGTCCAAACCGCGAGCAGTAAAGACGCCTCCTCGGGAGCCGGAACATGTGTCGACTGATTTATGGTAATCTTTGTACGCGGAAAAATACGGATGCCGAGTTTCGTATCGCGTTATTAATAGCGCTTACTTATCGGGCGGCTGTTTTAATAACGGCCATTGTGAAATACTTAATTGGTTGACTGTTAAGAAATTTGGCCGTTACATTTCTTATGTTTTGAACAATAAAAACTAATCCGATTTCTGTTTCAGGTGATATATGACGTTTCAATCAAATGACTGGTTAACTTGAATTTAAACTTTGTCTCGACACTCTTGCGTGCGCTTACCTTGGAACGTTCCCTGTGTAGTATGAACAGTTAGGCTGACCTAATAATCGATATTTGAGAGCAATGAGAATCGTCCTGGCAGCGAGTGTAGCTTTGCATATGTAATTATCATAATCTTTTGTTAGCGTACAATAAAATCTTAGCATCTTATTTTAATAGCTAGTCATTAATGTCAATGATAAGTAGACGTTTTAAGTATTATAAGTTTATTGTTTGTTACATTTAATCTGTGATCTAAAGTTTAATCTCTTAAAATTAATTCAACTTGTCTGACAAAAATATAAAAATGCTGCTCATCACGTACAAATAGACATACGATATTAAAGGATATCTTTAAATCAATTGACGTAAATTAGTGTGTTCAGAAGTAATTTCGTTTTCCTTCCATTATCTATATAAAAATATCTTTTTATATCTATCTATAATCATAGAGATCTGCCGCTGTGCGAGCGGAAAGTCTATTGGATTAATTGCAATTCAATCTTCTATGTTTAATTTCTTGATGTTTGTCTTGATTTTTTTTTGTATGTTTTAGATAAGTCTGGTTCTAATCTAAAACCGGTACATTATATTTTTATATTGTTAATTTGTTAACCTTTCACTTGCCATAACTGTAGCTTCAATAAGTTCTTAAAAGGAAGCAGCAGAGTAGTTGCTTGATACTTTTCAAAAATACAGCGTTCAATGCTGATCTTATCACTGAAGACGGTCCGAGGTGCACCGAGACCGGAATCCTATTACTAATGTTCGTGCCCATTGTTTCTGAACCACTGAAGCTTAGCGCCAAACGTAAGAATAGAGGGGATGCGATAAGCCGAACGACTGAGGCTTTAATGGAGACGACGATAGTGAAACGGTATCCTCTATTTTCAAATTACACCCAGAGCAAAGAGAACACGATTAAATAATTGAATCGCTGGATGAACTTAAAGTAATTGTACTGATAGATAGCGCAGAACCAAGAGTTTGATATATGTGATTCAAAGTAATAATGTTAGTCTCGTTAGAAATTTTCATCGTTAAATGTTATTTGTGAGGTGTTGCATGTTGCAAAGGATGTAAACTAGATGGCGCTCAACATTGCTAAAAAGGCAACAGTAATATTAAATGTCGGGATTTTTGCGCCGAGAGGTAATCGGCCGTTAAGTTTAATTGGTAAAGCGAAGGGCGCGAAAACATTAGACGCAAGCTCGAACCCCACAGAATCCAAATTTTTTTGTTCTTTTATCAATAAAAATTACTAGTTAATGTTACATATTAAATTGTAATTTTTAATACCGAGACCGCACAAAAGTCCGGCGTAAATTGGAAGTGTTACTTCCGCGTTTCGTCTGGTGAGTGAGGTAGCCGGGGCCCACTTCATTAAAAAGTGGCAACGCATTTGCAAAACTACGGGTTTTGCAAATGTCCATGGACGGTGGTCATCACTTAAATCTGGTGAACACCCAGCTCCATCGCCACCTTAAATGAAAAAAAATAATTTACCATTCAAGAAGAATTTCAAATATCTATCAATATAATAACAACATGAGTATTTTTAAACGAGGACAATGTTTTTGTCATCTGCTCTGGTATTAAACAGACATTCAGTTTAAAAGGAGTATTTTAAAAGAATAGATTAGAAGTGTTTAAAAAATTATATGAAAAAGGTTACAATATGTATAGGTCGTAAACGAGTGTCCTAAAGGTACACGCAGCACAGAAGCGATTAAGAAATTTAACACCCGCATAATTAACATTTATCAATGCTTATAACACTTCAGAATCGAAATGCGAGACAATTTATTGTAGAAGCACAAACAACAGACACTATCACAGTAACAAATTGTATTGAAAGATACACAAAGGCTTTTACAGAATTACATAATTGTACAGGCGACGGCAGTAAACTTCGACGTGAAACATGAATTATATTTGAAATATTATTCTCAGTTATGTGTTAGGTAATTCTCGCTATTCGTTGTAAATGTACAAATGGAAGTGATCGTTTCCCATTAATGGAATTATAACGATAATATTTGAGAATTGATAGGTAATAATAAAATATTTTTTATAGGAACTATTTAAAATACAAATACAAATAAATACTAGCTTTTCGCCCGCGCCTTCAATCGCGTTGAAACCCTTAAATAAATATCGTTCTGTCTCTTAAAAAATATACATTTTAAAGAAAGATATGTTCAACCCTTTCAGTCTTTCTTTTTTGGTTCAGTAGTTTTGGCGTGAAAGCGAGACAGACAGACAGAGTTACTTTCGCTTTTACAATATTAGTATGGAAGTACGGATTTTATTGGGTATATTAATTATGTAAATGTGTGTGTAAAATCAATAATAAAAATACAATTGGCAAGCTTTGTTGCTATATTGACACATCTGACGCAGTGATTTCTGCATCCCTTAGCAGTTTGGATTTATAGAAGTAAATTTGATGTACATGTAAATAAATTCCACTCATATCTAGATAATTTCAAAGAAGTTTCATAAAAATTTTCGTTGAAGTTTTATTAATTGAGCTTGATATTATACCTTCTATCATCTCGTCTGGATGAAAATTAAAAAAGTACAGCGACATTAAACATTTTACAACTCCGAGGACAACACATTTTACGAGCGTTGCACCGTTTTATTAAACCATAGTTTTAACGCTCGTAAAATATCATTGGCGATTCGAATTTTTGCAACTATCCTTCATAGTTGGAACGCGAAGCGGTCCGATTTTAATATATCGTAAAACCTAAATGCCACTTAATTGCTGCCTGCGGAAACCGAAGCGTCGGCTGTGTTGCCCCAGAAATAAAGTGCAAAATCGTGTGCATTAGCTGAAATATAATTTTGGTGTTTGTTAAGCTGATGCAATGATAACATAGCTGAAGGCAGACGTATAATGAAACTTTCGGTCTTTATTACATTGTTTTAGAGTCTAAAATCGTGTGGTTGTCGTGGGCGCATGCAAGTGAAGTTGGTTTTCGTCAAGACGAGTCCTGAGTGCATGGTCTTTGCGATGCGATGCTGGGAAGCTACTTATCGTTTCCCCGTAAAATGCTTTCCTAGTACTCCCGCGCCCACTTTTACCGCGAAAAAATCCACTGTTTCGCTTTGCTTCAGCGCAGTCGATGGTGTTCCGAACTTTGTAATAACGTCAGACGGAAATGGTAGCTTTCTATCTACTGCCGCGTATGATTCGAGGATTTGACGTTACAGTTGAATGAGTTTGATTGATCTTCAACGAAGTCTGGACACACTAAAGTAGTAATGATACCTACTTGTATCTTTACTATAATCTATTATTATCTTTACGTTTAGTATGTGTATGGATGTTGTCAATTTAAAATTACAGCAAATTTAGTTATTGACGTGTGCATATAGCTGTCGTCACTAGTGAATTGTCAGCTAGGAAAATACATTTTATCATACCTATATAGATTAAATCGTAATAGGTATGTGTTACTTAAATTTAGTTAAGATTGGATGATAAGTATTAACAAAAGTTGAATACACACTACCTGACTTATACACTTTACCTTTCGTAATCGAAATTGTACTTACCTAGCTCACATTGATCGTCTTTTTATTTTATTATTATATATATTAATTATATTAAGTAATCAACTCAGCTTGTGGCTATCTGTAATATCAAAGTAATTGCTTTATTTCCCTCAATCTCAATTCTGCCGTCATCATTCAACGAGGAACCAGCAACAACGAGAGCTTTGTGCCTTATTCATAGATTTTTATACGAAATAAACTCACGTTCATACCCGAAATGCCGTCTTACCTGAAAAAAAAAAAAAACCCTCGTTAATAATCGTGTCCGGCGCGAAACCCCCGCCACCTGTTAATTAGGTCAGCGGACCGTGGCGGGCCTTTATTTTAATTAGCGAAAAGATTAAATTTTCCATGTCGCGGAGTTACGGCTTTCATATGCAAATCGACAAAGGCGGGAGGACGGTCCAGGTTGGACCCACGGTCGATTCCTCGTTCTGTGGCGTGTTAAAATTGAAAAAAATTATACGCCCTCAATATAACATAACAGCAGCATTCGGCTTAAAATGTTTATTATGGCATATTCGGACATATCTATTGTTTCGCAGGATTAAGTTTTAAGTTCAGAGAATTTTTCAGTCATACATTTGCGATACCTCGTAAAAATAAAGTCCAAATATTTTTTTTATGGAGAAAAGCGGCAAACGAGGAGGACGCTCACCTGATGGTAAGTGATTACCGCCGCCCATGAACACCTGCAACACCCGAGGACTTACAAATGCGTTGCCGGCCTTTTAAGAAAGAGTATGCTCTCTTCTTGAAGGTTCCCAGGTCATAACGGTTCGGAAAGACCGCCGTCGGCAGTTGGAAGACAAAGACAAGATTTTTACAAGTCTACAAAGAACATAAGAAGACATTTATATGGTCTTCTTTAAGAGCGATTTAAAATTAAATGTTGGGCCCTTTGCAGCAAGAATGTTATTCAGGAGATATACTGCAACAGAATATATAGTACGAAGATTGTAGTTAATTGAATAAACCTTGAAGTTGTTAGACGTTAAAATAAATTAAATTTAACCAGTCACAAAACAAGTCAATAAACATGACGATACGAGCTACAGTCCAACCATTTATTGTATTTCCCCAGTTTCATTATTGAAGCGAATGTCTAATAATCAAACAGAATACAGAAGGCAGTAAGATTGAAAGAAGTAGCCAGTGTGCAGTTTAAACAGGC